CCCAGGGGTGGGTTGACTCTCATTCCTGTTGGGATGCCATTGGTGTCACCTCTGTTATTGGTGTCACCTCTCCTGCTGTCCCACTGCCCAGGGGTGGGACCCCACATCATGCCCAGCCAAAGGGAAAGCTCTGGGAAACAGACCCCAGGGAAGGAGGATTGGGATCACCGGGGAGGCAGCCCCAGGAAGGAGCACCCACTTGGACTTGACAGCCCCCCATGATCCCTGTGAGGGGGTGAGGACCCTTCTGGGGGTCACAGGGTGGGGGTGGCCCCAGGCAGGGGTAGGGCTGACCCTGGGGGTCCCACGGGGATCCATGGGAATATCCCATGGGAATAAAGACCCATTGGACACCCAGGTGCCCCTGTTTCCTCCTACATGGGGGGCAAACAAGAACACCAAAATGGGGTGAATTCAGTGTTAAAGGTCAGGGTGGGTGCTTAAGGTGGGGGGATCCCATGTTTTTGAGGGAAAACCATTGGGATTGGGGTGCTTGGACCCAGTAGGTGCCCCAGGTGCAGCATCACCCCCTCCCCAAATTCCTGGGGGTGGGAAACAGGTGGGCTGCACCCCAGGGTATCCCTGTGCCTATCCCTCCCCTACCCTCCATCCCTCCCTCCCCAGAGCATTGGGAGGGATTTGGGATCCCAAATCCAGAACACTCTCTAAAGGGCCAGAATAGCTCCCAAAAACGAGACCACACCCCATGCCACCCCACCCCCCCAGTCTCCCTTCCTGGGGGTTCCCCAGCTCCTGGGTCACCCCACATTTCACCCCAATTAAAAAGGCAACAGTGACTCAAAATGTGCTGGGTCTGGGGGCGCAGAGTCTCAGGGGGGAATGCTTGGGAGAGGGAGGAGGTTTGGGGTGCTGGGAGGGGAGCAGTGCAGGGGTGTGCGTGTGAAAGTACCAAGAGTTTGGGCAGCTCCTCCCGACGCTAATTACGGCAGTTAATTGCCCCGACAGGCCCCAGCTTGTCACTGCACCCCAAAACCCCACCTGGGTGGCAGGCAAGGGACCAGCCCCCCAGTATGGGGCAGGGATACCCTGCTGTGGGGCAGAGACCCCCCATAAACACCCTGGACACATGTCTGTGAGGAGGTGCCTACGTGAACACCTGAATGCTGGGGGTCCCCACCGTGGGGAGGTGGGTTTTGGGGTGAAGGAGTCCATTCAGGAGGTGTGAGGGGCTGAGATGTGGAGGGAGTTCCACAAAGACAGAGATGGGGGTTGAGGATTCCCTGATCCAGAAAAATTTGGGGGGCAGGAAATGGCTGGCTGAGCTCCCAGATTTTGGGGATCCCCTCCATTGGGAGGTGGGGATTGAGGTGAAGAAGCCCATTCGGGAGGTGGATTGGGGGGTCTGAGCATGGATGGTCCCTCCCTGGTGGAAATGGGGGTTCAGGTTCCTTAGCAGAAAAATCTGAGGGGCACAAAGCCCCAAGCCCCCTGGGGCTGACCTCATCCTCAGACACGGGGGGACCCCCAAAGCACAGGGCCCCCCGCATTTCCTCCACCACCCCTCATGAGGCCCCAGAACCCCCCCAGCGGTTCAGCACCCCCAAACCCCTCACCCCACTCCCCCATCCCAAGAGTGACCCCAGGTGACCCCAAAAGGAGCATGGACTCCCCAAAGCTGTGAAAACCCAAACACCCTGAGCTCAACGCCCCCCAGACACCGGAGGACTCCCATTTCCTCCAGCACCTCACCCAGGCTCAGCGCCCCAAACCCCTCAGGGGCCCCCAGAAGGGAGCCAAGTTTCCGGGTCCCCTCTCCCGGCTCCCTCTCAATGCCCCAGAAGGCTCCGGGACCCCCCAAACCTGCGGGCCTCAAAGCGGGGTCCCACGGGGCAGGTGAGTCATGGCCCCACCCATGGGATGAGCTGGGTCCGGCCTCAGCCTGCCCACCCACCCCCCCATCTCTGGGGGGTCCCGAGATCCCGGGCATGAACCCCTAGGGTCGGTTCGGGGTCAAATCCTGCGGGGGGGGAGGCGTCCCCGAGATGTCCCCGTGCCTCAGTTTCCCTCCCCGGGCACCACCAGCATCCGCAGCTCTAGTGCTGGCAGGTTTGGGTGATGGGGGGATTAAACTCCCTCCCTAGGACCCTGTGGGTGCCCCGGGACCCCCGAGGTCCCCGCAGTGTCCCAGCGGGGTGGGGGAGACCCCCTGCCGCCAGAGACCTGTCCATGGTTGCCCCCTCCCTAATTTGGGGTGACCCCCCCCGGGAAAGGGGGCGAAGCGGGCAGGGGATGCTGGCACTGAGGGCGTTATGGGAGGGGTCCTCTCCCACCCCCCGGAGTCCGGATGGCACTGAGGGTGACACGAGGTGACATCGCGGGGGTCCCACCGAGCTTGAGGGCTCCAGGTCCCCCCACAAACCATCCCTTCCTCAGTTTCCCTGCAGGGTCTCCGTGACCCCCAGTTTCCAGCAGGAGGGTCCGTGGGGCTTAACCCTTCCAGAACCAGCCGGATCCCCCCACACCTCCGAAGCCAACCCCTGAAGACCCCAGACCCCACCGCCCGGCCACACCCCCACAGCCCTCGACCCCCCCTTCTAGACCACCGCAGACACCCCCAGACGCCCCAGACACCCCCAAACCCACCCCCTGGCCCTCCCGATCCCCCCGCCTCTCCCAGACCCGCTCCTGACCCCCTCTAAACCCACCAGAGCCCCGCACGCCCCCAGATCCACCCCCTGGTACCGCTCCTCCCGCCCCTCCCCCAAATTCTGCGTGAAGCCGGACCCTGTCGGGGACCCCCTACTCCCGGCTCACCCCGCCCGAAATTGCGGGAGCCCCAAATTCCGCCGCCCCGCCGGCCATTCCCGCTCCTCTGCCGCCCTCCAGCGTCCGCGAACCCCAAAATCGCCCGGGCGGGAGGGGAGGGTCTGAGGGCTGGGGGAAACCTCGGGGGGTCCCCAAACCCCTCAAACCCCTCCCCCTCAAAGAACCTGTGAGCCCCCAAACCAGACCTCGCCCCCAAAAAGCAGGGGAGGAGACCCCCCCCCAAAAAAAAAAAAATAAACGGACATAGCATCAGGGGGGAGTTGAAACAGGGGGGCAGGAAAGGGGGTGCAGGGAGGTGACCCCATTTTAACCCTCCCGGGGGGGCACTGCCAATCCCACCCCCTTTTTTTAAGGAGGGGCTGTGCCACCCCCCCGCCAGCCAGCACCCCCCTTCACCCCGAGGGCCCCCAAAAACTCAGGGACCCCCGAATCTCAGGGCCCCCGAGGGCCTGGCCCCCGACTCCCCACATGTGAGGGGCTCGGGGGGAGCCCTCCCGGGTTGGGACCACCCCCCCCCGCCCCCGCAAACCTGGGAAGGGTCTGCACAACTCCTGGGGTGCGAACTGGGGAGACCTGAGGGCTCCGTGTGCTGTGGGGCTGCAGCGCCACCCCAGCTCCTTAATTAATTACTCAGTTAATTAATTAATCCTCTGCTGGCACTAATTACAGGCACCAGGTGTCACCCCCCCACCCGCGGATGGAACTGGGGGGGACACCCCAAAATCCGCAGCGCACCCAGACCCTGTGGACACTGCCAGCCCCTCAACCCATGGAGGGACCCCCAGATCTGCTCCCAGCCCCAAAGCCTCCCTCCCTCCCGGGCCGGGCCCCGTGGGGTTAATCATTAACGGGGGACAAAGTCCACGGGCAGCACTGATTTTGGGGGGTCCCCCTTCCCTCCCGTGGGCTCTGAGCCCCCCAAAACGGCTCCGAGCCTCCGGCATGCCCCCAGATCTCTACCACCACAAACCCGAACACCCCAGGGCATCACCCTGACACCCCCAAACCAACTGGGGGGGCCCGGGACCCCCAAACTAAGCCACTGCCCTCCCTCCCTGCCACTCCAAAATGAATGTGGGGGGCTCAGAGGGCAGCCAGGGGTTTTGGGGTGCGGTAGCACTCCGAGAGAAAAGGGCCCTGGACAAAAGCCCCCTGGAAGGAGCACCCCAAAACACACCCTGGTACCCCTGGATGAGAGCCCAGGAAGGGACCCAGGCACCCTAAAACAGATTCTGATCTCCCAAATGGGGTCCTGGCACCCCAAAACAAACCCTGGCATTCCAAAACAGACCCAGCCACCCCAAAATGAGCTCTGACGCCCCAGGGTGGGTGCTTGTACCCCCAAACAGACCCAAGTACCCTGGAATTTGGTCTGGCAGCCCAGAGGGAATCTGGGAACCCCAAAATAGACCCAGGCACCCTGACATGGGCCCTGGCACCCCCTGATGGAACCAGCCACCCCCAAAAACACCCTGACACTCCAAGATGGGTCCTGGAACCCCAGAAGGAACCGTGGCCCCCCAAAACTGGGATGGGTCCTGGTCTGCCAAAACAGTGCCAGGCAGCCTGGGATGGGCACAGACGCCCTAAAACTGGTCTGGGCATCCAAAATGGGACCCAGGCACCCCAAAACAAGGATTGCTGTCCCAAAACAAGTCCTGGCACCCCTGGAAGAGTCCTGATGCCCCAGGAGGGACCCTCAGACCATCAAACAGATATTGACAGCCCAGGATGGGTCCAGGCACCCCAAAACAAACCCAGGCACCCCCAAATGGGTTCTGGCACCCCAACACAGACCCGGACATCCCAAGATAGGTCCTGGCACCTGGGAGAGATCCAGGCAACCCATAATAGGTATTGGTGCCCTGGAATGGGTCCTGGCATCCCAAAACTGGTCCTGGCACCCCAAGAAAGGAGCCGGGCACCCCAAGATTGGTCCTGGCAGCCACATATAGGTTCTGGCACTCTAAAACAGATTATAGGACCCACAAACAGACCCAGAGACCCCAAAACTGATCTGGGAACACCAAGACTGGTCCCAGTCTCCCAAGAAAGACTCGGGAACCCCAAAACAGCACTAGGCACCCCGAGATGGAACCGGCCACACCCAGACTGATCCGAGCGCCCCAAGATCGTCCTGGCACCCCAAAACACCCCAGCAGCCTGGGAAGAGCTCTCCCACACACCTCTTCCCCCCACAGTTATCAACACTCCCGAATTTTCAAGGTTTTATTCCAGCAGCAAGCAGAACACCCGGGGGAGGCCCAGACCCCCAGTTCCCACCCCCCAGTCCGAGAGGGGACAATGGGGGGGTTGGAGCCCCCCAGGGGAGACTGGCACTGGCACTGGCTCAGGGTGTCAGCAGAAGGTGCCTGGTGTCCTGTCGGGAGCTGGGGCCTGCCAGGGAAGGGGGCCAGAATGGAGGGGGGACCCACCAAGGGAGGGGGGGCTCAGCAGGTCAGGACATGGGGGACCCCCCTCCCAAAAGATCCCCCCAGGACATGGACAGGACTCCCAGGAAAGGGGACTCGGGGAGCTCAGGTGGCCTGGAGTTGGGGAGATCCCCCCCCAGGCAGGAAAGAGGGGACTTGGGGTGGGCTCAGAATGTCAGGGCATAGGGGACCATCCCTCCCACCTCAGAAGAGGGGGTTCAACCTGGGAGGATATGGGGGGACACCCTGAAAAGGGGATGCCCAGGGGGGCTCAGTTGTGCTGGACATGAGGGACCCCCCAAGACACAGAGTGACCCCCAGGAAATTGGGGGGGCTCAGCTGGGCTGGACATGGGGAGCCCCTCTCAGGAAAGGGGGTTCGCCTGGTCAGGACTTAAGGGAACACCCTGGGAAGGCAGGGAACAAGGAGGAGCCCCCTGGGAAAGGGGGGGTTCAGTTTGTGTGGACATGCGGGACACCCCAGAAAGCGGGGCCCAGGGAGGGCTCAGCAGGTCAGGATTTAAGGTCTGCTCAGGAAAGAGGGGACTCAGCTCAGCTGGCCAAGCCAAGGAATGGGGGTCCCTCAGGAAAGGGGGTTCAGCTTTCCAGGACATCGGAGGACTCAGACACAAGTTTCCCGTCACGGGTCTCGATCTTCTTGATGACGATGGCACGGGATTTGAGGGGGGCCATGCTCTCGGGGGGTGGGGGTGGCACCGAGTAGCCTGAGCTGACCGTGGTGCCCCCAAATGGCCCCCCAAATCCTCCCCCAAAACCTCCCCCGAATCCACCTGTGGGGAAGAGGGAGCAGCTGTGAGGAGGGGCACATGGGGGAGCACCCAAAATCAGAGGGTTCAGGAGACGCCCCCCAGACTCACCCAGGTATCCTGAAGTCTTGGTGTGGATGCTCAGGTTCTGCACAGCAGCCTCGAGCCTGGTGGGGGTTGGGTTTGGGGGGGTTCCCCAAACAGGATCAGTGATGGGGTGGGGGATAAAGGACATGGCCTGGGGGGAAACCTGGGGGCGGTTGTATCCCAAAACTTTCCCCTAAACAGGAGCAGTGATGGGAGGGAAGGGTATTTAGGGGACATGGCCAAAGTGAGGGGGTTAGAGGGGGTCCCCCAAACTGAGTGTTTTTGGGGGCAGAGGAATAAGGGACACGGTCAAATGGGGAGGATTTGGGATGTTCATGAGATATGAAACATGGGACATGGAATATCCATGGGATATGGGATACCCACAGGGTATAGGATACGGGATATGGGATGTCCATGGGATATGGAATGTGCGATGCCCATGGAATATGGGGTCCTTGCAGGATACGGGACATGGAGTATGGGATGTTCATGGTATCCAGGATGAAGGACATGGTAACTGGGATGCCCATGGAATATGGGATGGAACACAGGACACTGGGTGTGAGATATGGATGCCCAGAGGTTATGGGATGTGGGATGCAGTGGGTTATGGGATGTGGAATTTGGAATCTGGGATCAGGGCTTCCCACCTGCTCTCCTCGCCCTCCAGCAGCTTCCTGTAGGTCGCAATCTCGATGTCCAGGGCCAGCTTGACATTCATGAGCTCCTGGTACTCCCGGAGCTGCCGGGCCAGGTCCTGTTTGGCCTGGGCCAGGGCCCCCTCCAGCCCTGCCAGCTTGGCCCGGGCATCCCTCAGCGCCAGCTCCCCACGCTCCTCAGCCTCGGCCACGGCCGCCTCCAGCCCAGAGCGCTGCAGGATGGGACACTGAGCCCAGGATCCCCCTGGGCTGGGATCCCCGTGACCCAAAGTCTCCAATATCCCAATATCCCCCTCCCCTCAGTGTCCCCATGTCCCAGTATACCCAGTGTCGCAGTATACCCAGTGTCGCAGTATACCCAGTGTCCCAGTATTCCATGCCCTGTCATCCTCTGGGGTCCAGTGTCCCCATGTCCCAGTGTTCCCCACTCCCCAGTATCCCTCATATCCCACTATCCTTCACCCCCCTCATCCCACCAGTATTCCCAGCCCCTCCAAAATCCCCAAGCCACCTCTCTCTCCTCCCGTTTCCCAGATGACATCCCAAGGGATCCTCAGGAATCCAGTGTGGGGGTTTCCCAGGGGGTGCTGGGGGATGTGTGGGGGAGGGCAGGCAGTATGCTTCCAAATTTCCATCTGAGTTCCATCCCAAACCTGATTTTTCAGAGCCTCAATCTCTGCCTGGATCCTCTGGATTCGCCGGTTCAGGTCCTGGATTTGGCTCCGGGTCTGGCGCAGGTCGTCTCCCTGCTTCCCGGCTGCCGTCTTCAGCTCTTCATACTGGAGACACCAGGCAGGGGTGGGAATGCAGGGCACCCCCCAAACCCACCAGTGCCCCAAAATTGGTAGGAAAAAGCTGGGATGTGGGCAAACTTGGAGGAATAGTCCAGGGTGGGATGTGGTAGGTCCAGCTGGGTTTGGGGCTGGGATCTTGGGGAGCTGGAGATGGAAGGACTCCCCTTTTCCACCAGAACCCCAAAAACTGGGAGGGAAGAGCTGCGATGCGGTGGAGGCAGGAGGGATGACCTGACAGGGATGTGGTAGCTCCAGTCAGAATTTGGTGGGTCCAGTTGGGTTTGGAACTGGATCTTGGGGGGATGGAGATTGGAGGGACTCCTCTTTTTCCCCAGTACCCCAGAATTTGGGATGAAAGAACTGGAATTTGCCTATATCAAGAAGGATGTTCCAGCTGGGATCTGCGATCTCAGGGGGATGGAGATGAGGGGACCCCTCTTTTCCCCAGCACACCAAAACCAAAGAAAGAGCTGGGCCGTGGCCACACCAGGAGGGATGCTCCAGCTGGGATGCCGTGGATCCAGTTTGGAGTCAGTCTTGGTGGGATGAGGAGGGGGAATCCTCACTTTTCTACCAGCACCCCAAAAATTCAGAGGAAAGAGCTGGGATGCAGCGATGCTGGGAGGGATGACCAGCTGGGATATGGCGGCTCTCATTGGGGTGTGGGTCCAGTTGGGTTAGAATCTGGGACCCCAGTGGGATGAGGCCCCCCCCCACTTTCCACCAGCATCCCAAAATGGGGGATGAAAGAGCCTGGGAAGTACTGGCACTGGGATCTGCACCAGGAATGGAGATGGGGGCCCCTCCCTGCCCCACGGCACTCCGGGACTGGGATGAGCCCACGCCAGAGGGAACACCCCAGGCTGGGATGTGGCAGCTCCAGTTGAGTTTCAAGTCAGAATTTCTCCCACACAGCAGCTGCTCCCTCCAGGGCAGGGAGGAAGATGAGGAGGATGAGGAGGAGGAAGAAGAGGAGGAGAAGGAGGAGGAAGGATTTGGGGCAGGGAGGAGGAGGAAGACATGGAAGTTTCAGGAAGCAGGAAGGAGAAGGAGGATTTGGGGCAGGGAGGAGGAGAAAGGTTCAGGGACCAGGTAGGAGGAGGACAAGGAGGGAGAAGGATTGAGGTGCAGAGAGGGGGAGGAGGAGGATGGGGCAGGGAGGGTGGAGGATGAAGGCTTGGGAACTAGGACTAGGATTGGGGAGCAAGGAAGAGAATGAAGACTTGAGCAGGGAGGAGGATGAGGAGAAAAGCTCAGGAAGGAGGAGAATTAGGAAGACAGGATGGGACAGGGAGGATGAAGGCTCAGGGTGTGGAAGAGAAGGAGGAAGTTTTAGGGAGCAGGAAGGAGGAGAAAGCATCAGAGGAAGAGGAGGAGGAAGGATTAGGGAGAAAAGAGGAGGAAGATGAAGGTTTGGGGAGCAGGCAGAAAGGAGGAAGAGGAAGAGGAGGAGGAAGAGGAAGATGAAGATGAAGATTTGGGCGGCAGCAGGGCGTGCTCTCCTGACCTTAACCTGGTAGAGGCCCTCAGCCTCAGCACGGCTGCGGCCAGCGATGTCCTCGTACTGCGCCCGCACCTCCGCCAGCACGCCGGCCATGTCCAGCTGGCGGCTGTTGTCCATGGACACCACCACGGCCGTGTCCGACACCTGCGCCCGCAGCTCCTGCAGCTCCTGTGCACACGGGAGGATGGCTCAGCAGGGGGACACGCCCGAATCCAGGCACCCCAAATCCCAGGCACCCCCAAACCTCCTCATAGAGCTGCCGGAGGAAGTTTATCTCATCCGTGAGGCTCTCTAGGCGCGATTCCAACTCCACCTTGGACATGTAGGCTTCGTCCACATCCTAAGGGAACACCCCTGTCACCCTCTGTTCCCAGCACCCCCAGAGACCCCCCCAGCAACCCCTTGGTCTCAGGGACTCCTCCCATGTCAGGGTCCCCCCTCAGTGTCAGGGGTCCCCCACCTTTTTGAGCAGGACAAACTCATTCTCCTTCTCTGTGCGGTGGTTGATCTCTTCCTCATACCTGGGCAGGGGGAGACAAAGATGAGGGGACATTTCTCCCCATGGAGAAATGGGCATGGGGGACATGGTCACAGGGGGAATATGGGGATGGGAACTGGGCGGATGTGGGACATGGGAATGGGGTGACATGGGGGTACGGGAATGAGGGACATGGGGGTATGGTAATGGGGGACATGGGGACGGGGATATGGAGACAGTAGGGATGGGGACATGGTAACGGGAAGGGATATGAGGATGGGTGACATGGGAACAAGGGGATGGGACGACATGGGGAGGTGAGGACAGGGGGACAAAGGGACAAGGCGATGAGAGGATGTGGGGACATAGAGAGGACTCTGACCAGGGATGTCAGGACATGAGGATACAGGGAAACCCAGGGACATGGTGGGGACATTGAGGGCCATGGGGAAGAGGGACACAGGGATGAAGGGACATGGGGTTGAGGGCACACAGGATGGGGACACAGAGTATGTGGGGAAACACTCGGGGACACAGAAATGGCCCTTGAATTCCTCTGGGAGGCTGCAGGCATGGCCCGGGCGGCATCAGCAGCCAAAGGGGGGCTACGAGATGATACTGGGGGGCTGTGGAGAGGTCTGGGGAGACACGTGAGTACCCAGGAGATAGGGGGGACATTTGGGGACACTGACTTGGCCTTGAACTCCTCAACGAGCCCGCGGACGTGGCCGAGCTCTGCGCGCAGCCGCTGCCGTTCCTGCCCGAGTCCCTCCAGCTGCCGCCGCAGTGTCCCTGCGTAGCCCTCAAGGAGCCCCCCCAGGGCGCTGCGGGGTGGGGGCTGCGCCCGCAGGAGCCCCCACTTGGTCTCCAGGAGTTTGTTCTGCTGCTCCAGGAACCGCACCTGCGGACAGGGAACAGCACCCCAAAACCAGACAAAATCACCACAAAAATCACACCTGGGGAACGAGGGTCAGGAGCACTCCCACACCCCACAATTGCCTTCAAATCACCCTACACCCCCAAATTACCCCAAAATAACCCCCACACCCCAAAATCACACTTGGGCAAAAGCAGGGTCAGGGACACTCCCATACCTCAAAATCACCCCAAAAACATCTCCACCCTAAATCACACCTGCAGGGAAAGGGGGAAAAGGGAGCCAGGACCCCAAAATTACCCCCAAATTACCCCCGGGGAAATGGGTTGGGTCGGAGGGAGGCATGGAGTGGAAGGGTGGGAGCAGGCAGATTTGGGGGCCCGGAGCAAGCTGGAGTCTGTATGTCCTTGGGGAAGTCAGGAGGGGGTCAGGGCGTCCCCAAGGGGGGTGTCAATGTCTCTGAGGGTCTCAGAAGGTCCCCAAAGGTGCTCAGGACACCCCAGCTGATCCAGGGGGTCCCTGAAGGGTACCCGTAAAGGCTTTCCAGTGTCCCCAGGGGTCTCAGGAGGTCCCCAGAGGTGGTCGGGACATCCCAGCTGAGACTCAGGGGGTCCCAGAGAAGGTCTCAATGTCCCTAAGGGTACAGGAAGTCTCCAAAGATGTTCAGGAGGTCCCAAGGAAGGTTTCAATTTCCGCAGGTGACCCAAGATGTCCCAGGTGCCCCAGCAGGTCCCAGAAGAAGGCCCCAGAGTGGTCCCACCTCTCCTCGGGGTCCCCCCAGCCCCACCTTGTCGATGAAGGCGGCGAATTTATCGTTGAGGGTCTTGATCTGCTCCTTCTCCTCTCGGCGCAGCTCCTGCAGCTCGGGATCCACGGCCACGTCCAGCGGCGCCAGGAGACTCCGGTTGATGGTGACGGCCGTGATGCCGCCGCCCGCCGCCGGGACCCAGGAGGGTCCCCCGAGCCCCCCGGAGCCGCCGCGGAGCCCCCCGTAAGGGCCGAGCGCCGGGGCCGCGCTCATCCGCAGCGCCGGGCCGGCCGTGAAGGAGCGGGACGAGAAGGAACGGCCCGGAACGGCCGAGCTGCTCCGCAGCGCCTGCCGGGGGATGGAGACCGACATCTGAGAGGGGAAAGTGGGAAAAAGAGGCTGGAGAGAGCCTGGGAGGTGTTTGGGAGGTGGGAAAGGAGATTGGGAAGAGGTTGGAAGTTGGGAAAGGAGATAGGAGGGAGTTTGGAAAGAGGTTGGAAAGTGGATGAAGAAGGTCGGGGAGGGTTGGAAGAGGGCTGGAGAAGGCTGAGGGAGTTGAGGAAGCTGCAGGGAGGATGGAGAAGGTTAGAAGGAGGATGAGAATATTGGCGCAAGTTTGGAAGAGGGCTGGAGAACGTCCTCAGCCGACGAGGAGGACTGAAGGAGGCTGAGGGCGGCTGAAAGAGGCTGAAGAGGCTCAGGAGGATGAGGACGGCTGGAGCAGGTTGGAGAAGGCTGAGGAGGACGAGGCCGAAGGCCGCGCTCGGGGCAGGGAGGCTGCGGCGGCAGCCCCGGCAGGACCGGCCGGACGGGTCGCGGCGGGACGGGCCGGGCCGGGCGGAGCGGCCGGGCGGGTTCCGGGCGCCTTCCCGCTTTGGTTCTCGGGTTTACCCCAGAGCCGGGGGAGGAGAAGCGGGGGGAGGGACCGGAGCTTTAACCCCTTCGGGACATGGGATTCGCGGGATCACCGGGATCCACCGCCATCAGGACGGGCGGGGACGCGGGGGTGGGCATACCCCAAAATGCGGGTCCCTGTGCTCCCCGCCGCCCTCCGCACCCCCTCCCGGAGGAGGGGAGCCACCGAGTGTCCCTAGGCAGTGTCCCCAGCCCTGTCCCCACCGTGTCCCCACACCTGGGTCTCCCAATCCGAGTCCCCAACTCTAGGTGACCAAGTCCTATCCACCCAGTTTGGGTCCCCAACCCCCGACCGCAGTCCGGATCCCCCCAGTCTCAGTCCCCAACCCCTGACCCAAGCCCATGTCCCCAGCTTGTCCCCCAGACTGGGTCTCTAGATCAATGTCAGCACTGTGTCCCCCAGTCTGTGTCCCCAGCACCACATCCCCAATCTGTGACCCCAAACTATTCCCCCAGCCCATGTCCCCAATCCCTGACCCCAAATCTTTGTCTCTGCCCATGTCTCAATCCTGGGATCCCAAACTATGTTCCCACAGCATGTCCCAAATCCCTGACCCTAGCCCCTGTCCCCAGCTTACATCCCCATGTGCCCCATCCCTGATCCCACACTTTGCCAGGCCATCAAACTGTCTCCCCAGCCCCATATCCCTCAACACAGAACCCCAGTCTCTGTCCCCTGCTCTGAGTCCTCAGCCCATGTCCCCAGATCCAAGACCCCAAACCCTGACCGCAGCCCTGTGTCCCGACCTCTGACCCCCAGTCTTTCTCCCCAGCTCCACGTTCCCCAGCCCCTGACCCCAGCCCCTGTCCCCAAATCACAACATGGGACTCCAGGCACATCGCTCCAAATCTGGCCCCAGACCTGGCCCCAGACCTGTCCCCAGGCCTCACCAGAGCCTGTCCCCAGTGCCAAACTCAGCAGCAAAATAGAGAAAACATCCCAAAAAAGACATCGGATGGATGGATGGATGGATGGATGGATGGATGGATGGATGGATGGATGTGCGTGGGTGGATGGATGTGGATGGATGGATGCATGGATGCATGGATGGATGTGAGTTCAGGTGTGTGCAGGTGGGTCTGACAGGTGCCAGTGTGTGCGGTGGTGTCTCCAGCCCAGACTTGCCCGGCACGAGGGCGGCACACGCTGGGCACTGAAAGGGCGGCACCTACAGCCTGGGAGTCACACCTGGCTTTGGGATCCTGGAGTTGGAATCTAAAGCCCCCTCCCCTCCCCTCCCCTCCCCTCCCCTCCCCTTCCCTTCCCTTCCCTTCCCTTCCCTTCCCTTCCCTTCCCTTCCC